CAAGTAGATATCATCGTGTTGATTGTGGGACTTTGACCATCAAGAGTTACCTCAGACCCTATTGAATTTTAGTCTGTAAAATGATCTTTATGGGGAAAAATGAGACAGTAAAAAGGTTATTATGCATACTAACATAGTTTCTAAATTACATATAGATATATTTGGTAGGTATCATCTGAAATATGTATTAATAATCATGCTAGCATACATTACCTGAAATATGTGTTAATAAATACTATGTGTGTGTGACAAGCCCAAAGCTGTACTTCGTGACACACAGAGTAAGTGTTTCCCTACTCACATGTGAAAAGAACAGCCGACTTAAAAATACAGAATGTTTTTTGTCCCTAACAAGGGTTATGCATCTGGGCAGCTGCTGGTCATTAAGACCACATCTTAGTGTCACTGTGACTCTTTTCTGTCCTCGATTGTAAACATTAGGTTTATTTGTGTCTGAGGAGAAGAATCTAGCTTACACAATGCTGCTCCATCAGCGTCTCTCCACAAACTTCCTTCGAGATCTTAGTGAGTCATTACGGCATAATTACAAACCTAGTGTGTAATGCTAGTTGTTGTAAAGTGTCAATTTTTTGTGGAACAGTGAAACTCCAGTTCCAAACCTGTGAGTGGCTAATCGATGCCATGATGAACTGATATTAGCAGACACCCCGAAGACTTAAACTGCGTGTTCTCTGGTTCAGGGAAGCAGCTGAGAAGAAAACGCCTGGCAGGGGTTAAATCCAAATGGCTGCTCGGCAGCCTATTTCTGTCAACACTCAATTCAAGAAATAAACATTTATGCTTTCTGAAATGAATGTGCATTTTTGAAGACTAGCCGTCAGATATTTTTTGCCCTTCACACTTTCAAATGCTTAGCCTTTTTTTTTTTTTTGTAAGTTGACTGCAAAGTACATCAGCTTGCCAGGCTAACAAAAAAATAAAAAGCTTGACAAGAGTCCATGGCCCCACTGTCAGCCTCCGAAGTTTCCAGGAGAAGAGGCGAGAGGGTGGCATGAAGCAGACTTACTTCTAGTCTGTTATGTCAGAGTACCAGCCTCCTCTAGTCCTGCTCAGCGATGCTATTCCCAGCTGGTTTATTTGGAGCACACTGGCTTGCAGATGAACATGCTATTTAGCTGCGGGTCAAGGTGGAGAGTCGTTCAGCTAGCAAAGTGCCTGAGATACATTAAATGGTACTGACTTTAGGACAGAGATGAAGAGAGATCAGAGCTGCCGGCCATGTGCATGGCATGGGGCATAGCTGGGGAAGCAAAACAAACAAACAAAACAAAATGTGCCCTAATATCAGTGCATTTTAAAAAGCTGTAATATGTAATATGGTAATATGGCAGAACATTGAAAACTATAACCTCACACAAACTAGAGATTAAGATCCTGGGATGCAGAAAACATGAAGTCCACAACAGCACAACTGCCAAGCATATTTTATTTCACTTAGAAAGAAATTTCTCTTCAAAGATAACTAAATGTTACAGATGGTGAGGACCTCGAACTTACAGCCCAACACTATAAACATCACTCAAGGCTGAGTGAATACACAGACAAGCACTTATCATTTGGGCATCCATATGAATGCACCAAACAAGCCTGTGTCTTAGAAAATTCCTTAGACCCAGACATGCATTTTCACTTGTTTCTCATCACTTAGGTTTTTGTACTTTGTTCAGGTCTATCGATAAAAAATATCTTTTTCCCTGTGTCTTGACATATATAAACTGGGGCCAATCCTCCTGAGGGCAGATAGAAGAATTCTGTGAAGTGATAACATAAGCATAATCTCCATTATGTATCCAGGCTCCTGAGTGACTAGGGGAGACCCACAGCAATTCCCGACAAAGTTGTCTCCCCTAGTGTTTGGGCAGGAGGACTCTTCGTGGAGCTTCCAGATTGCAGAGGCATGGGAGGAAAGGGTTAACATGTTGAGATTTAGCTATTTGTAAAACAAGAAGAAATAGCACCAGACTTTTATTTACATTTTCCAAAGCAGAAATTACCCTTTTTTCCTAAGGTTTTTGCAAAAGTGATACACCACCTTTAATCAGCTGAAATAGACTATATCAAGCAAACAAATTTGGCAAACCTTTTGTGCTATCGCCATCTCCCCAGCGGCCCTGACTCTCCTCCCCTCCCCCACCCCATTGGCGATCCTTTCAGGAGATCTTTTCTTTACCTTTTGCCTTCTTTTCATTTCCTTAAGAACTAAAAGGAAAAAGTTAGGTTTGCAGGAAAGATAAACAGCTCGTACACTCACAGAACAGTTGACACTAACGAAGCAAATGGCAGGGTCAACCTCAAAAAATGAAATTTTATTGCTTTGGCTTAATTAAACCCCAAAGAAATGTGTAGAAGATTGTTGTGGCGGAAAAATTGTTAATTTGTAAATCACAGGGACAAAAGGGGCCCGCTGCAACTTTAAAGTTTCCGTGCACGTTAAATGTCGATAGCATGCCTTCTCCATCATCAGCACTAAATTCACATTGATGCCTCTTTTCTTCTCTGTATTGATCCTTCCATGAGAACGTAGATTTGTATCTGTTAATTAATGCGTCCTGAAACAGCGTTTGTATTAATCAGGCAGATAAGAAAAATTGGATGCCTGCACCCTCCTGACAACCGTAAAAGTGCTGGCCCTGATAAAATCGTGGATGGACCTCAATAAAAAAGTTCCTCCTTCCACTCAATAAACTAATCATCCTGCTTTTAATTATTCGGCAGAAAGATGTGTGGAGATTGGAGAATGTGTAAATCTATTTACTAACGGCAGTGTCTGGGAGGGAGAATGGTGCTGTCAGGAGCGTGCTGCGGCTACCAGCTTTGTCCATCTGCTGCTGCGGATGCTTCCTGGGAACCTGCAAAGGCACAAGAACACTAAGGCAAATTGAAAATAGCCTTTCTGCTCTGAACTTTCTAGACAATCATTTATTTTTGAGTGGCTTCATTTACAAAAGAAATGCCTACTTAGCCCACTTTCTCGAATTAGACATTTAGTTTGCTTGGCTGCTTTTTCCTGGGAGGGGTAGCAGACAAAAAAGAACGCTGTGTGTGTGTGTGTGTGTGTGTGTGTGTGTGTGTGTGTGGTGTGAGTTTGATATTCTCAGAAGCAGAAGCAGTTACCCAGGCCTCCTCAGAGTGACCATTGTCCCCCCCCCCTTTGGAATCTCTGTTTTAAAATGTTATATGTTGTAGTTCTAATTCTAAAAGAATATCTGGGCATTTAACCTCACACAGCAACGACAATGAAATAAAAGAATGATAAAGAGAAAAAAAATAGACTTGCATAGCCAGTTCAAAAGAAGATCCATTAGGTAATATGTAAGCAGCTTGATAAACAATGAGAAAAATGCTTTTTGCAGTTATCTTCAGACCCCCTTAAGAAAAGCAAGACTAATCCCTCTTGATGATTTTATTAAACACTTAACTTGACGCTGCTTGATGGCAAAATGCTGGCTTTCACCAACAGACCAGAAAATCATTTCTTTTTCCCTTTTCGTACTGTTGTTTCTAATATCACATAGGCTGTGAACAATTTGATATGAATAAAAACGACAGCAAAAATGAACCTGATTGGGAGTCTAGGAAGCTCGGGTATCAGAGATATTTATGATTTGGGTAACAGGGTCTGGATGGAGAGTGAAATAGATTTTGTAAGTTGTATTACGAAAATATTCTCCTCTATTTTAAGATCCTGGTGGCAGAAACTTCCATCATGCTACCATTGCCCGCAAAAAAAACAAAGGGGTATTTGGTCACATTTGGAATTCCTGGGTATAACCTTGGAAAGTAAATCTTTAATAAACATTTCTTTTATTAGGACCTCAGGAAACATAAATTTATCAGATATCATAACTAAACATCCCTTTCAAAAATCTCAATTTAGTCTCTCTGAAGTGTATATCTATTTCTTCGTTTCTAACTATGTTTACTTGCTCTGTCTTCTTTTTAATTTTTAAACTATTTTTCTGTTACACCATTCATGACACTTGTATGTCATTTTGCATATGACTTCTCAAGCTTAGCAGGGAGTTTAAACACATATGGTAAAGGCAGACGAGATTTTTAGTAATGAAGCAGTCATTCAGATATTTCAGATAAAAATAACACAGAAAATAGCTGTACTTACTGAATGCATATTATCAATTTGTGTCTTGCTGGGTGTTGTATTTCTCCCAACAAAAATTAGGCTACAAATATGTTGTCTTGTTCAAGGTGAAATGGTCAGTAACTTAGTGGAGCCATTATTTAAATCCAGAATCTGGTTCTTAATATATATACCAAACCCCACTGCCTCCATATTTAACTTTTCAAGTAACTGTAGCTTAATATCAAGAGTATACTGTGGCTTTCCCATTAGCTAAAGAGATCATGCTGCTGTCTTCTCTCTTATATAACAATTACCATCATTTTAAAAAGAGATTCATGTCAAATATCAATGGGGACCAAGTGTCCAGTTAGAAAGTTTCTTTTGGGGTAAGCATGTCCATCACACGATGTATGTGATTATCATAAAGAAATAAGCCCAAACTACTCTCAACTGTGTGGCCTAAATTGGTTGCTTCCCTTTGTTTTTTGATTTTCCCTTTTATGCCTTTAAGATATTTAGCAATAATAGATTATAGAGGTGAGGTAGTTGAAAATCTGACTTCCTATACAGCAGTAAAGGCTTTAGCCAGAAATCAAGTGGATTTAAACATGACACAGTTCTTTCTTCCCAGGTGAAAGAAACAAAACTATTTCTCTGTTGTATTCTCTTCAGTGTGTCTATAAAATCCAGAGAAAAGACCAACAAGTTGAAGCTGATGGGTGATGGGTGACTTTTCTTTGGCTATTTGCAAAATGGTCAGGGAATTGTTTAAGAGCAGCTAATGAAAGCTCAGCATAATTTTGAGCACTGGTGCAGAAGTGGACAACCATATGAAACTAATGTCGCATTATGAAATTATGGCTGCAAAGTAACTTGATCTGCCCATCTTCCCTCCCAGGCTTCTCCACGCTGTCCCTGGCCGACCAGATGAGCCTCCTGCAAAGTGCTTGGATGGAAATTTTGATCCTCGGTGTCGTATACCGATCTCTTTCATTTGAGGATGAACTTGTCTATGCAGATGATTATATAATGGATGAAGACCAGTCCAAATTAGCAGGTCTTCTTGACCTAAATAATGCTATCCTGCAGCTGGTAAAGAAATACAAGAGCATGAAGCTGGAGAAAGAAGAATTTGTCACCCTCAAAGCAATAGCTCTTGCTAATTCAGGTTGGCATATTGACATGGCCGTGCTTATCACACTCTTTAATGTCTGTTTTACCTCTTCCTTTAACTTCTTCAGGGATTTTTCAAGACCCAGTTGTAAGTTCTGATGAGTATCAGCAAAATTATAATCACTATAGCTTTTAGTAAAAAATTAGAAATAAGAAAAAGCTGCTTAAAGGAGATTATTTTTCTTTTATTTACCTATGTAGAGCTTGTACCACCTAATACATTTATTTACTAATTTGGACCATGGCAAAGCAAGACTCATGCAAGAATAGATTAAGTATAAGGGGACACTCAGAACCAAGCTGAGTCCATTGTCTTGTGTGCACCAGTGAAAATGAGTGAACTATGGATAGACACAATCTGGTTTTCCCCTCAAACGTGCAGAATTTGCCACTGGAAAAATATAATTAGTATTGTTCTTACATTGCCTAGAAGTCAAATTCAACTGAAGGAGTACTTCCCTCAAAGGTACTATTTATGCAGGAAGGGTGAAGAATTATGGGAATACATGGTTTTTGCATTTGAACAGAAAGATGCTAAAATAGGAAGCAACTTCTGATAAGTAAAAATCGTTGGTGCTTTGTTGTTTTCCCTTTGTGCGCCTCCTAATGCTTTATCTGGTGTTAAGTCTCTCTTAGCATTTGCATAAAGTTCAGGCTAGATCCCTTCTTAATGACGTGCAGATCCATTAGATACCTGCACGTCAATAACATGCTCTGCCGCTATGTACCATTGACAGTCACACCGTGCACCTCCATCTGCTTTTGTTTTGACCCTATCTTTGAACTTTATCTTGGTTGCCGGCCAGTAGTTTTCCCTTTAATTACAAGAAGGAAACTGTCAATAAAATCTGTTAAATGGGATGCAATGAGTGGCTTGAATGGGCGGACGGCTATTTGTTCAAATTCTGCAGCATTCAAGGTATTGACAGTTTGTTTTCTGGGGCCATATGTGACGATCAATCTCAGGCTGGGCTCAGCCGCGCTGAAAAATGAAAAACCAGATTGCTTTTGCTTACTTGTGGATGACGACTTTGTGATTTGGCGCGGTCCTAGGGAGATGAGACCTTCTGCCCAAATTGCCCCCATGAGAGCCAGAGACGCGTGACTGTTTTTAGAAATAATTTTTAATTGATTTTGTAATTAACAGTTCATCTACAATATTGATGCATGAATCCATGGACAGATAGGAGGGGGATTGTTTTCAACAATGAAGTTGTATTTTGCTATTCGTCTTCATAATGGACTTTACTATTTCACACTTTTAAATGTGAATATCTTCCTCTTCCTCACCACAGCATGCTCAGGTCTGTGCCTACTACCCTGTGAAACTATAAATTATGACTGTCACAAATGGCATCATTATTACAAACCCTCAATAGCCCCTTGCCTGTTCTTCAAAGACCAATGTGAGAGATGGGAGAGACGTTTTTCTGAGAAGAATTAGTTTGTATGGACTTCATATTATAGCATCTCTTCTAATTAAAGAAAAGATTTTGCAGCAATGATCTAAGGAAGAAATTTTTTTTTTGGCAGGGGGTGTGGGGGCAATCAAAGAGCAATTCTAATTTAAAACAGTTACTTGGTTAATTACTTCTAAAATATAGCCAGCAATGTTTTATGTTGCTTCAAATGGCTTTTTAAAGTTATTAACTTATCAGGATTGCTCAGGATTACTAAAACTATCATTGAAATGGCTGATTTTTTTTAGTGTTGTATGTCAGATATATATTTTGTGGCTTTGGATTATAGTTTAATCTACCTGAATAAATTCATAGCAACATTTCTGCCTCCGTTGTTCAGAAGTATACACATGTATATTTTGATATATACCTATTTGAATCCCACATTCTTGGCTGTCAGAGGAGGTGACCTACTTAGGGCAGTGACTGGTGATTAGAAAACCTTTAGAGAACTATTTACTCTTTCTATTTTTAAGGCCAGAAATAGTCCTTCTCTTTCTCTCTTCTCTTACCAAATTATTGGGTAGTATCATTTTTTTTTCCTCAAAAACTGTCTTTGTTGCAAAATTTTCCTACAAATGATCCTAACATTTTACGCTTCTCATTACCAAGAAAAAGTAATTGAATCAGAGCCATAACAAAAACAAGATGACTAAGTACTATGTGTAAGGATGATTTTTAATGTCTAAATTGTGGTACCTATCTTCTGTCTTGTATTTGTCCTTTTACCTAATAACCTTGCAAGCCCTATCATTTTAGCTTGAAATAAAACTACTAAGAAGTTATTTTCTTTGAGAATGGCAATATGAAGCTATTTTATTCTATTTTGATCATTATTTGGAGGACAGCAATAAATTTATAGATTCATTATTGCTTAGATCCATTGTAAATATCTTAAATTTATTTATAAACCAATCAACTTAATAAGAAAAGAATGTGGCAATCTGCTAATGCTTTTTATAGACACCCAAAAAGAAAACTCAGATTTTTTTTAACATTTAGAAATTTCAGGTGAAAAAAAAATGAATTTTTATGAAAAAAAACCAACAAAGTAGTGTTATTTACATAGGCATCTTAGCACCTTTTTCTGGCTGTAGGGGTTAACAGCCATTGTCTCATTATCTAAATCTCCCCTCATTTTAAACATGTCTTTTTAGTAAATGTTGTGCTTTTGCCTAGAAAATAGAGAATTGGTTTCCTGATAGTGATGTCTTGATATTTTGTCATATGTGAATTCATGGATAGTCTTAACAACAGAATATTATTTTAAGTATATGTCTTCCCTCAGATGTAGGACCAAAAGCCAATATATCATGAGCCAATACTGGAGTTCTCATATTCAGATGTTTGAAAATTTGAAACAGTTGTTCCAATTTTATTAGGAAGCTGTGTATTCTCTTAATATTTTTGGGTGCCAACAATCTACTGAGCAATCATGGCATCTCTGCTAATAGTCTGTGGAATCAAATTCAAAAAGGGAAACCTAGGTCACAATTTAAACTGTTCATTCATGCATGATCAAGAGGTTAAGCCGCAGTTCTTTCACACATGATCAAGAGGTTAGGCTGATCTTTAGAACTCTTTCCATTGGGGGAATTCTAGGATTCTCTAATTAATTTAAGCCTTTATTGGAAAATATGAAATATTACTACAAGCAGTGTTGAATAAGATTATTTCATGCTATTCTATTTTCTGGATTGGTTCTATTGATTCTTTAGTCAAGGGATTTGTTTGAAACTATTATCATTGGCCTCACAGTAATATACACATCTTTATATAGTAGAAGATTAAAAACAGTTTATGGCTAAAAGTTTTCCTTAGTCTCATTCTGTTTTGCTCAATTCACTAGACCCTCAAGTTTCATGGCTACCACTTATACCCCGACTGCTGTCATCCGTTGGGACCTAACTTTTGGCACTTGAGCCAGCCATTCAAGAATAAACAGAATTCACACACCTAAAACTGAGTTTTCATTTTACTTCTTTGCAATATTTCTAGAATCATAGCACCTCTTGATATAAGCTGCAAGCCACATTTTAGCCATCAAACTTTAAAACATAATAACAACAACCAATGTATGACAGTATCCCATGTTGATTTATGAGACCAAATACTATGCATGTAGACTTGGGTCATAATTTTAAGGAATAGAAAGTTTAAGATTGCTGTAGGATATTGGAATGGAAGCCATAATTGGATGCCATGTAAGTTTTGTTTTGTGCCTCTCAATCTTGCTATCATTATCATCCCTTTATGGTAGATTAGTTAAATGTGTTTCTCCTAATAAGTCCCAAAGAAAATATCTTATATGCATATATATGTATGTATATAGATATATAATAGAGAGTTCACTGCAAAATAACTTTTTTCCTACTTTCCAATTAGAAATGTTAACACCTTTGAGAATGTATAGCTTAGCCACATGGCTGTTTTCTTTGTAAAATGAGGCGAGTGAATTAAGTAATGGATGGTATCTCCTAAGTGGCCAGAAGCTATTGCAAGTTACTTTTGATTGTGGGTGGTGAGTTTGGTCGTCTGTTTGGTATATGGTGTGTGTGTCTGAAGTGCACTCATACAGATAGGTGACTTTCGTGGAGAAGACGGTTTTATTACTATTCCATAAATAAATATATACTGTGTGTTCAGGAATGATCAACGAGGAAGACTTTAGTCATTGCAATTTCACATCTGCCAAGCTAAATTGGTATTTTAAATATTGTTTGGAATTTGGTATTTACTCTCTTGCTGCCTTCTCATCGTTGGTAGTATAAAACTACCCCAGAAAAGTGACAAAAAGAATTTAGAGACAAAATGTTTCAGACTATATAGCATGTTATAAGAAATAATCATTGGTAGGTGGTTTATGGTAGGTAGGTGTTTTTTCTTAACTCTTACCCAATCCAAGCTATAACTTGGAGATTGGGTAGACCAGAATTCAAAAATATGTCTTTCCATTTCCTAGTCTGTTTTGCCTTTTGCTTATATCTGCCTTCACTGTTGGGATTATTTTTTCTAAAATGATCTATTCATGAAGTTTTTTGTTGGTGGTGGTGGTGTTGGTGTTCATTTGATAAAAAACTTAACATTTCATGCATAGGATGATATCTTAAATTTTTAAACAAAAAAGAAAGAGCAAGCATTTCTCATCATACTGAGTGATTACTCTGCCTTGAAATGGTATAGGGATTATTTGCTGCAAATGAATCTGGATCATAAACACATAAATACTTTTTAGTTACTTTCTTTTTATTTTCATTATTTCAAGTCTTAAGACAATGAGTAATCTGTTAACTAAAGCTTGTAGCATGGCACAGATCAATTGTGATATTGTAGAAATTTGAAATAGTTGCCACTCAAGTAACTGTTCATTTACAGAGTATGCTGGTCTTTATCACTTCCAGTAAAAGGAGTAAGAAAGTTTCTGGAAAAGTATATGATGCCTGAGTGAGAGAGAAGGCCTTGGCTACTGTTCAGGAAATAAAAAAGACTAGCAGGGAGACCCCATGGACAAGGAGTAGCAGTAACTTGGGATTCA